ATCCTGTCACTCACGATGTTGTACTTCAAGATGGATCTAGAAATAACTTTTTTTTACTATAAAGGCAACCCCGTTTTTCCTTGTCTTTTCATCTCCAGAGTAATATATCATATGGTCATCAGACTCAAAAAATACACACACACAACAACTATAAACAGTGATTATATACATGGACTTCACCTGATAGATCAGATTGACTATGTCAGTGGAAATAGATATTTAAGAAGTTCAAGGTCAGCAATCAAAAAACCAAGCCACTGACTGACTGGAACACACCATCAGCCATTCATACGCAAGTTCAAATTAAAGTTGAAGAAAATGAAAACCAGTTCACAAGAACTAGAATATGACTTTGAGTGTGTTCCAACTGAGCTTAAAAATCATCTTCTTTTAAGATGCAGTAGCTTTTCTAGCTTCATAGCTAAAAGTTCACAGATTTTCATGGCCTTGGTAGATGGAAAATGATGGAGGTAAAAAACTAGCCAGAAAAGGAAATTATATGCAATTTATAAAATGTGAGTACTCATCGCTAACTCAAAGGCAAACAGTTCAAATCCACCAGCTGCTACAAGGAAGAAGGATGGGCAGTGCTATTTACAGCCTCTGAAAACCCACTGGAGGGTTGGCTACCAGTCTCTTCTGACTAGACAACACAAATGATAAATGTAATGTATGTAATAAGATTGGAATAGTTATTCCACAATTATTCACATAAACAGATGCTATTATTATTATTGTTGTTGTTGTTATTATTAATTATAGTATTTATTTTAAAAGCACTCCCCTGGGTTGCTTGGACACTTATCCAAGGAAGTAATTCTTTGTTTCTTTATCTTGCTATCTATCATTTAGAGTATTTACCTTGTTATTGATCATATTCAACTGAACAGAAGTCATCTTTTCTTTCTTTTTACTTAAAATAGGGCATAAGGGGATCTAAGGGTACTGTTATAAACCACAAAAAAATCAACCAAATAAAACAAAACAAATAGAGGAAAACTCAAACTTGTCAAGGATTTCATTTGACGTGGATCCACAATCAACACACATGGAATAAGCAGCAATTCAGAAGTCAAAGGACGGACTGCACCGGGCAAATCTGTTGCCAAGAATCTGTTTAAAGTGCTAAAGAGCACCAATGTCTGTTTAAGGACTAAGGTGTGCCCAGCCAAGCCACAGTATTTTCAATTGTTTCATATGCACGTCAAAACTGGACAGTGAATAAGGAAGATGGAAGATGAATGGATGCCTTTGAACAGTATTAACAACAAGATACTTAGGCCTGTCAAAACAATAAACAAATCAGTTAAAGGTGCAGTCAGAGTGCTGAGACTTCCTCTCCCGGACTTTGGATGTTGCCGGGAGGGGTGAGTCCTTGGAAGAGGACGTCATGTTTGGAAGGGTGGGGGGTGGGGAGAGAGCCGGACTCACAGTGACTCCACGAGCTGAACCCATGTGACTGCGGGGCACCAAACAACATCGTCTCAACAAACTTGTAATGTGCGAAGCTCTGTGATTAGAAAAAGGAAACTTGACTTTGCCCTCGAGGGCGATTATCAGTGGGAGTTTCCACAGATGGGTGGAGACAGACGTAGTCACAGGTTCTTGGGACTCCAGACGAGGTGACGAAGTCAAGGACCTAATTGAAGTTAAGGAAAAGGGAGGACTCAGAAGAGGAAGTCGTTAACCTGAGCCAAGGCTGAGAAACGCCTTCACAGCGTGGGCGACATCAGAGAGATTGCCGGCCAGATGAGGTGGGGCGAGCTGGAAGAAACCTTAGTTTTTCAAACGGCAAAGAAATTTTGTAATTCTTAAATAGAATGAAGCAAAGTTCGAAAGGATAGGTGTGCTGAAGCTAAGCCGTGGAAACTAACTTTTTAAAGAGGCTTGCATATATAAATTACAAGTTACAAGAGTCCAACTTGAGGACCAGCCTCCGTAATGCCCCACTGGAGGTTAAAACCCTAATTCTAAAGGTGGCGGGGGCTCCACCAGGCAGCCAGGTTGTAGCTTCTGGCTGGCGACTGGCTGGTTTTCCGTCCCGAGGTGTTGGGGGTTACGTTTGTCGCCGGCAGAGGAGGGCAGTGACTTTCGAGGGGCTCAGGTGACGTTTGATAACACGGGGAGGCGCTGCCAGGTCCCACCAAGGAGAAAAAGGCTGAACTCCAACATCACCGCGGGCCGCGGGGAGTGAAACAGTAGCTGCCTTCGCCGGGTGCAGTTATTCCCGACATGCTCCTTTCCGGGATGATTTCAAACCCTTGGCAACAACAACCGCCCCTCCGTCCCCCAGCAACAGGCGGCGGCCCGCTTCTCATTGGTGCAGCCCGCACCACTGTGCTTTGATTGGCCGCGGTGGCTCCCGGAGCCCCTACGCTGGCCGCCACCTCCATTTTGTCGGTAGTATCTGAAGGGGGCCAGTTCGGTGGCGCTGAGGTGGTGTGTAGCTGCCTCGTCGGAGCTCTCGGGTTTTGTTCGTTCCGTTCCTCATCTCTCCCTGGAAGGGGAGGGAGGCTTCGACGTCGTGTGGGAGCCGGCGCTGCCGCAGTTCCGAGCTTGAAGTCGGTGAGTGGTGACTGCGCCGCGGGCGCGGCCATGTTGATCGCCTCACTTCCCATTGTTGGAAGAGCGAAAGCGAGATCGGGGGGCCCGGGGCGGGGCGCGGGGGTACGAGGAAGACCGGGGCCGCGGGCCGCGCTCGGGAGGGAGGGAGCCGCTCTGAAACCAGACTCGAGTCGGAAGTTTTCCGGGCTCGAGTTATGAATGACGTCAAGTCCGACAACTAGTAATTTGGGTTGTCAGTACCTTGAAGCCTCGTTCATCTCGTAAAGAGGCAGGGCGCGCTTACTCGTTATTTTAGTTACTTGGAATGTCACATGCCTCGCAGGGGACACTGTAGAGATGACATCGTCCCAGGCGTTTCTCCCCTTTGCGCGAGAAAGCTGGCTTCGGTTAGGGCCGTGCCGCCGTGAAGCCGGGCGGAGTCGGGCGCGCTCGGGAGCCGAGGCGGCGGAGGCGTGAAGCGGCCGGCTTTGGACGGAGGCTGAGCCAGGCGATGCCGGCACGTCCCGTGCGGCTTGGAAACCGTGGCAGGAGGGCCACGCCCTCCCAACACATCGCCCGCCAGTTCCCGGCCTCGAAAGACCAACATTGCTCTGTTTTCATGTATTATTTTTGGTCACAAAATCCAGATGAAAGAGTAACATGGAAAAAACTGACTAGCTGCCCCATTTGCAGATCCCACCCCACCCCCCCCTTTACAGAAAGGCTCCAGGTTTTCTGGGTCTCACGGATGAAGGTTTTAAATTATGACAGTTGGGGACAAATTGTTTCGGAATGCCCCACTGCGGGTCCAAAGCCTCGTACTGTTCTACCTTTAATAAGTTCACTCTATCTGTAGAAAGGAAGGTTTGGGTTTTTTCCCCCCTGTAACTAACATAAATGATCCGTCAATTAATCTTTTACTTTTCTAGCGAGGACTTCTCTCAGATTTGTGTGCTGAGGAGACTCAGATGTTGGCCTCAGCTCCCAGGCTGAACGCAGCAGGTCGGCCCATGAAAACTTCTGTATTCAGACAAAGGAAAGGGTCCGCCAGAAAGCAGCACTTACTATTCTGGGCTTGGCAACAAGCAAGAGGGCAGGTAGTGGAAATCCTGCAATCCGAAAAGCAGACTGAAAGGTATGAGAGTTCACATAATAATGGAGAATTTTACTGGGCATGTATTCTATGATGGCTTGAAATCCTAAACTAGTCCTTTTTAAATCGAAGTCAGTTCAAATGTGTGGGCAAGTTTGTTAAGAGTAAAAGAATAAATGTACATCTAAAGGAGTGTGAATAACAACTTTCTGATTAAAGTGGCTAAATAGATTTTTAAAATGTTTCCACAAATTTTCTGAAATTGCAGTTTGAGACTAGAGCAGTTTTTTTTTTTACGTTGCATTTCTACTCATTTTTCCCATTCATTTATAGGTGACAAAGAAGCTGAAGATGGGTGGCGGAGAGAGTTACAACATTCCAGTCCCCCAATCTAGAAATGTTACTAAGAACCAACAACAGCTTAATAGACAGAAGCCTAAGGAGCAGAATTCTGAGATGAAAATTGTGCATAAGAAAAAAGAAAGAGGACATAGTTGTAATTCATCAGCAGTTGCACAGCATGCCATGCAAAATGAAGGGAAGAACGAAGTACATTTTCCAAATAATCAAAATTGGAACTCTAGCCCCAGTTTACTTTTTAAGGCCCCAACGAATCAGAACTATGCTGGAGCCAAATTTAGTGAGCCACCATCACCAAGTGTTCTTCCTAAACCACCAAGTCATTGGGTTCCTGTTTCTTTTAATCCTTCTGATAAAGAAATGATGACATTTCAACTTAAAACCTTACTTAAAGTACAAGTGTAAAAGAAGAGTACTAATATTTAAGGTATCCTAAAGCATAGTTGAGTCTGAAACAAAGTCACTAGGGAATTAATGTTTAAAACTAATTAATGTAGAAAACAGGATTAGACTTCCTGCTTTATGTGTGCACTGGGATACATAATAACTTGTCAGTGCAATTAGTATTTACTTGATACTGTGTTCTCAAATGACTAAGTGAAACTATCCAGCTTAGATTTGGAAAGTAGGAAAGGACTATTTTTTTTCTTCTGTTGGCTAGGGAAAATAGTAATTTATCATTCATGATATGTAGATTTTACTTGTTGAAGACCAGTTATTCAGACTTGAGAAGCATTTCAATCCTTCATTTGACCAGTAGTAAGTCAACCTGATGTACTACCTAAAGAAAAGTACTTTTCAATAGTTGCATTTTAGCAATTGTGTAGTGCTTAATATCTAAAGGGCACTAGGGGCTAATTAAGACAAGGCACAATAGCACATCCCAGTGGTCCTGTTTCATAGCAGTGATAATCTGCCAACAAACGCACTAATTTTTAAATAGTATTTGGTGACTACAGAATAGCTTTCAAAATACAATTGTTACAGCACTGCAGAACAGACAATGGTCTGGCCTCCAATCATCCCTGCCAGACTTGCTTAGAATTGGGGGATGTTATAATGTGAAAGTTTAAAGTACCTAGGGAAGAGCCATGTAATATATGTAATAAACTTGTAGCATATGTAAAGCTTTGTTGGTTTCTATCCTACAAAAATACTATTTTATATGAATTTGCTGAATGTAAGATAGACTTTTTTTATACTATATGGCATAATTTTAATGTTTGAAATGTTTTTAAAGTTTGCCCTTGTACTCAAGTGCCAATGCATGTATAATTAGTTTTGTTGTAAATTGCAGTCTAAAGAAGTTGTATAATGGAAGTTTTAAGCTGCTACACCACCCTATTTTTAAAGAAATGTGAAATGCAGCTCAGGAACTCCCCCAAGATTAACCATTAAAGGGCCCTTCTTTGATTTAAATTACCTAACTTAATGATGCTTAAAGTGTGATAACTTTTTCATTTATGAGTAACTAAAAAATCCCAGGGGGACCGTTTATGCAAATACTTTCTTGCATAACATCATGTCAGGCATGTAAACCTACTTTAAATGCCAACCCATTGTTTTATGCTGTCATGTCAACTAGGACTCACAGTGGCTTAATATTACAATGTCCTGAGCCAAACTCACCCTTGGACACACCTCCATTGCTACAGTCACTGTCAGTTCATCTCATTAGCCAAGTTAAAACGAGGAGGGAAAAAAAAGGCCGCTAAAAATTCCAATCCCAAAAGGCCCAGTTTTTTGGCTTGGCTGCTCTTTGTTTATAAGCAGAATGGCGAAGTTTCCTTTCTCCAGGGAAAATATATATTGTCCAAGGCTAATATTGCTATGCTAAAGACAAATTTATGTTGTACTTAATAAATCTTTGAGAATTTGAAACATGAAATTAAAAATAAAATTTCCTTCCCAGTGGTTTAACTAATGTTTACTTTGAAGATGCACATAATTAGCCAAAATTAAAGGACTTAAGTTTTAAGAAAACAATCATTTCCTGATGTTGAACTTTACAAAGGATCCTATTTATGTTTTCCTATGGAATGGTATTTAGAGGAAAGAGCCATTTATTTTCTGGTTATGTTCTTAATGTAATTTCAACAAATAGCAACTCCCAAGTATTGTCAAGTTTTTCTGTACTGTTGAGAATTTTACTAGACAGTTGAATGCCTATATAAATTATATGTGCCTGATACAGGCCAAATTAGCAAATCCAAGTGTTCAGAAGATGGATGGTAAGAGTAACAAAAGGCTTTTCTGCTAACATCTACCTTGCAAAATACTACATAATACCCTACATGAAGTATGGTGATAGGTATTTCCCATGTTCAGGGGAACTAAACCTCCTGTGTTTGTACTCAGCCCTAGTATAAGAGAATTCAGGTCCATATACCTTTCCTTTTCTTGACAAACTTACTTTCCCCCAAAGTGCAGAAGATAATGGGAAAAAAATGGGCTTTTGCATATATTCTAAAAGGTTAGCTGTTTTCAATTCTCATCACAAATTTATAAGGCAGAACTAAGAGAAACCAAAGTTGTTGCCACAAACCATGAGGGACAGAATGGGTCAGGTACTCCCCCCTCTCTAAATTGTAAATACTAAAACCCACCCCACCCAACAACAAAATGACTCCCATCTTAAGTCTTGCCATATCTCTTTATGCTACTATATATAGCCAGGTGAGTGTTCATGCCATCTCTCAGCATGTGATGAAAAAAAAAATCTATAGACATGAGGGTTTTTTTACAAACTACAGTCAACTCTCAATGCCATGAATTTTAAACGGTTTCATTCTGAGCTTTAAACAGGTAAAACACAGAAATTCAACGTAAGCAATACTGTAGGAAGAAGCAGGAAATAAAAACGCTTATTAACAAGCAGAGTGTCAACTGAAGACACCAATACATTATAATTCATTATTTATGAATTATCTAAATGGATCCATTTTATCCTCTTGGACTCCTAAAAACTGCAGGTGAAACATTATTCGAGAATTTCTTCATTGTGCTGTAAAGAAAATGTTCAAATTGTCTGAAATTTGGAAAACCAGGCTTTGCAATTGTTGTGTTACAACAGCTGAAGCATCCTTGATTACGGGTTCTTATTAAAGGTTTGTCAAAGTGAAACTGCCAAAAAAAAAAACCACCACCACCAAAACCAACCCATTCTATGCAATGCAGGATAACGTTCTCATCTATAAAATAGGTGGACTGACATGGTAACTGCTTCAATGGACTCATGTCAAGAATGCACAAGATAGAAGAGGGTTCAGATCTTTTGTTCATCAGGTGGTTATCAAAGGCACCTAAAAACTACCACTCTTCTAAGAGTGTTTTTAGCTCTTTGGCAGGAACTGAAATGCCAACTATTGAACAGGGACTCCAACAGAAAAGGCAGTTGCTCCACAGCAGAATGATGGACAAGCTCCTGTGCAACAATGGAGGTAGAGTCAGCTATGCATTGAACTCCGGAGAAGTGAGACTGAGGAAGGTGTTTTTGGGGATTTTGCATGTTAAGTGCTTCAAGACGCAAGTTAAGCAATTAATCCCAATTCAACAGCTGCTAAACCACACTTGCTAATAGTTACCTACTCAACACACACAGAAAGGCGAGTAAAACAAAGTCATAAAGTACTCAGTATTTCCTATAATCAAAATCCTCAGCAGATTCAAAAGAAAATTCGGGACAAAATAATTATAAGGGACATGAGTTTAAGGCCACCTAGTGTTAAGCTGTGCTGCAAGACTGAAGAAACCTGGTTCGAATCCACCAGCTGCTCCCCAGGAGGATGGGATAATCTGTATGATTAACTGCCTCTGAAAACTTGCAGGAGGGTCAGCTATGAGTAGGTTGTGATACATAACAATAATCAAGCTATTAAAAATTATTTGCTAGAAACAATTATAAAGAAATGAACCAAATGGTGAGAGGCCACTGACTAATGCAAAATTTTGCGGTATGATCTTGGCGGGGGGTGGGGGGGGTGGGGGTGTAAAATTTACTGTAAATTAAAAAGAAGATTAATACCTCCATGTCCCAACTCTTACAATGACTAAAGCATTTAGTGATTAAGCAAAAGGTGAGTGATTTGAACCTACTAGCTACTTGCTATGTGGGGAAGATGAGGTCATCTTGCTGTTCAGACATACAGCCCCAGAAACAAAGGACTGTTTAACTAGAAGGCTGATGAGTCTGAACGGATTTGGTGCCAGAAGGTTCGGTTTAGTTATATGTATCCTGCTATACTTTCAATATCTTTACAAAGGGTTCATAGTCACTTCTGAATTTTGAGGAATAAATGTTCCACGAAATAATGATAAAAAATTATGTAAGCAAGTGATGGGAGTGTAGAGGTAAACAAACTTCATATCCTAAAATAAGGAACTAAGAAATCCAAAACATTTTGTGATACTAAAAAAGTTATTTATTCACTATACATAGAACATGTCCCCTATAAAATGTACATGTAAATCACTAGAAAGTAAATTTGGTGAACATTTTCTCAATTACAGAACATACTAAATCAACTGGGGATAACAGCTATCTGCCTCAAAGTAATCTAATTTTAGCACCCAGTCTCTCCTTTATATCTAATGCAAAATTAAATACTTATCTTGGGGATTATTTCCTAGTATGTGTTTTGAGGAGGCAGAGTTAACAATTTAACTCTAATATATCACAGTCACTGCACAATAAATCAGTTTATTACAGATTAAAACAAATCATTTCTCATTATTTGTATTAATGGGATGCAAACAAAAATACTGGATATTTTTAAATGGCAGATAACCACAAAAATTACTTATCTTTGATAGCATATCTGGCTTTACAATTACATTAGGATGAGTGTTGTAAAATAGTTATGAAGACACCTCAAACACAACAATGAGGCTGTACTGTAATGACTCACTAGACTGTGCTCAGAAGACATTATCTGAGTAAATGAACATCTACTTTTTCCCCAGTTACCCAGTACAATGTTCTGCCCACACTAAGGGCTTAAAGGTTTGCTGAATATACTATGAAAGAGAAGACCCTCTTGGCTGTCTGTCAAGTATTATACTTGGAAAAGAGTAGTTTAAGATGTAAACGGCTTATGGTGTACAAGTAAATAAACTCAAGATGCCAACAAAGCAAACAATTAAGCAGAAACACTGGCACCAAAATAAACAAAGGCAAAAATCTGTCGATAATAGCAAAAAAGGAACTGACAATCAAGAAAGTTTATACTGGACCAGACCTTTTCCCACCCAATTCAGTTTCAGACAGACCAATAGAGGCACTGTAAGAGACTATGGCTGTCTTCCTTAATATTCAGACATCCTAGTTTTCAGTAAATTAATTATGGGCCTATTATTCATGAATCAATAGAAACCTATTCATATTTAGGGATTAGTTTTCACAAATACAAAGTTGAATTTCCTTTTATTTGTCCTAAAATGCTTACTTTCAAACTTGAAGGGACTTCAATTATTCCATGTAGTTTTCAATGACATTCTTTTATCTTTTCAGACCAGAGTCAAAATATTCATACAGTATTCATACTGCAGCACCTTCCACCCACCCTTTGGTCGCTTGAACTGCCCTTCTTTGGTTCTTTTTCCGCTTTCTCAGATCTTTCTTGAAGTGTAGTAAGAAGAACTGTACTGGGTATTCCAGCTGCAGTTTGGTCTTAAATAAAAGAAGGATGTTTGTCAGTTTGGTTTTCTTTATTCTTCTCTGTGGTATACAGGATTTTGTTAGTTGAACTGGATGTAGCAGCTTACTGGGCCAAATTTTCAAGAGAAAAATAGTACAATAGTTCCCAGGTCTTTTTCCTGGGTTGTAACTTATCAGCTCATACTCTATGTAGCACCTTTACTTTCTCACTGAAGCATTATCTGTCATTTTTCTTCTTGCTTACTTGGCTTTAAAAAAAAATGCAGAGAGATCTTAAGTTAAAAAAAAGAGGTGAACTATGAACCCTCACCTGAATCTTCGTAAGATCTACTCAATTTAATATTGAGCTCAGTGCCAGACACACATTAGGTAATTCAGGGATTCCGGTACTCAACTATTCAACCCAAAGTTAACTTTGAACAGTGTGTAAGGACCCTTATCAAATATCAGCAGGATCCTAGCAATTATGACTTCAATTATAATACAGTCCTTTTGAAACTTGATAAACATATAAAGCTCTTAAGAAAATAGCCAGTTTAAAAATAAGTGAGGCAAACAAAAATTAGAACATTACTTCAATTTTTTAAAAATGAGAACAATTTCAATGAGCTATCTCTTGACTTTTAGAATCAATATTGCTTATTATCATATAGTCTATTCCATGTTTCGTACTGCTATTAGGAAAAAATTCTATTTTTCCCCCCTTCAAATGATAGTACTTAAAAAAAAAAAAATCCATCTAAGAATCAGGCCTCGACTTAAAGAATGGCTCTGACATTCAAAACCTTTGTGTCTATATAATGTCTTAGAACCTTACTTTCCTCATTGGTGATGATATGGAGATAATAAAAGTACCTTTTCCATAGGGTTTTGTGAAGTGTAAAGAGTTTAATGTGCAAAGATTTTAGAACAGTGTCTGGCACATCAAAAATACTACAAGAAAAGCTCTAATAACTGTCATTATCAAGCAGCTAGAATTCAAACCACAGAATACTGAAATAATTTCCCCAAACTGGTTATCACTTAAAACCGCTCAAATTTTAATGTAAAAATATTTTCAACCATGTCAAAACCAAACACCATAAGGTTGTATGTATCATGTTTAAAAAAGGGGAAAGCAGAAATAATGGTCCATGCAACCATGAAAATACACTTACTTAGCTGCCCTAATTTTCATTTTAACACATTATCTCAATACCAAATAACCTCGAAGTTATTTAACCAGAGGCTTAAGGAGCAATTGTGAAATAACTTTAACACTGTATTATGAAATTTTAAAATATTATGCAAAATAATGCAGCTTTCTGGCAAGTTCTATCATTTCCAAAGTTATCTGTGCCTAGTGGAACACCGATTAAAAATAGTCCTACGTCTACAAAGTATGGTTTTGTCACTTTAGAATCGTATTCCAAACTATAATAATTCCAGTTAATCATTATTTCCTTCATTTTGTTTTTATTATAGCATGTTTGCTTAATTTACAGCAAGCGGAAAATAAGTTGGGTCTTGTTTTTGATCCAAACATTGATGTTTTAAAGGTTGTACACAATATTTGTTAAAAAGAACATATAAAAATACCTTTTTAGAAGCTTCTATAAGAAAGAAAATACAAAGTTTAACCCCACAACTTTCCTCTTTGCTAGAATTGCAAACTACGGCTACAGTTTTAAATACTTTTTGTTTAAACTATACATCCAGGAAAATCTAAAAAATTAAAAGAAACGTGCATATAAATGATTGCATAGCAGAACATGAACAATATAACTGCAAACAGTAAAGAAATGAAAGTTAGAAATACTATCAAATATACAAAGGTTCTAGAATTAATCCCTCAAAACACATTCCACAAACAGTATTTAAAAACCATCTGTTGTTCTTTACAGGCAGGCCTAAATAACTAAAATAAAAACTGAAAACAGTACTCCTCCAAAAGGAATTGCCTCTCAATATTTCTTTTATCTGTAAGCAAGCAAGCTATGTATGAGTTTAAAGATGCTAGCTTTTGTTCAGAAATGAAATTAGATAGGTCAAGTTACTGTTATTTTCCACAAAATGATGTTTCAAAGAAACACTAGAAATTATAAATGGTTATGGGCCTCATTTTTAGTCAGGTCTACAATGATAATTAACTTAGAGAGGTCACTCTTGCTTAGCATTAATTGTTTCCATTTTTTTTTTTTAATTTCAGGCACCACAGAATCAACTAGTAACGGGAGTGTTGTCTTTCCACTTGCCTCACATTAAATAAACTTTAGGTGTAAAGAGCAAACCTCTTTTATAAAGAGGTAAAGAGATTTTGATACAAATGCACACACCAAGTGCTATAAGCATCAAAACAGTTCTTACTATCCAGACACAAACAAAACTTTCAAACAATCTACTTGTATCTAATAGCAGTAAGAAAATGAAATATTATATCCAACAATGCCCTTTAAAATTTTCAGTAACCACAAACATTTTTTTCTTGAAATTTTTTCTGCCATTATTGATCTGCTCAAATTTAAGGTATATTTTCCACTGATATTTCTTTTATTCACAGAAACCAGGAAAGAAATCCCAAGAAACCAAATCTACCAAACAGTGAAGGCTCCATGTTTCATTCAAAAATGCAACCTCCCTGAAAATACTACCTTAATCCAGTTGGCATCACTCCCATGATAAAAGGGTTAACAAAAGAACTATTCTACACTGCAAACTGAAGTAAGCTTTTATCATGGGCCTTGGTATCTTAAGTCATAAAGGTCCACCCTGAACCTAAATGTGTCTGAGCAGGCAGTGCTGTCCTGTGGCTATAACCTCACTTTTGTATCATTCTAACTTATCAACAGACTACATTTCTAGGTTAAACAGTTCTACCAATATGGATATGAAAATTTAATTTTAGTAAGACAATGTTGCAAATTATGGTCAACCAACATCTTTTCACCAATATTTCAAGCATAAAAAATGAGTCTTTACAAAAATATACAGAGACACCACAAATTGGTAGCTGCCCATAACATTAAACAAACTGGACTCTTAAGAGTGGCTTCTCAACAGCATATCATTTTAATTATAACCATTGCCTAGTACAGGGAAAACTAACAAGTGTTTT